ACATAGGTGAAATAGGATTATGAACAGGTAAGATGTAGAACCAAGCAGATAGTGGCTGAGCAGAGCCCATGTGAAAAATGGGATAGGAAGGCTGTAAAAGTTTTTTATTATTTCCTTTCTCCAAAACAACAACAACAAAAGAAAATAATGATGAACAATAGAACAGATTATCTAAGAAAGAAGTGCAAAGAAAGGTGATTGACTTTGGAAAAGGAAAAGATAGTGTCTTTTGCTTCAGAAAAAACAGTTAAGGATGGCAACTGTCAGAAGAACAGACAGTATCAAATCTAATTAAGAAAAAAGGCAGAACAACAGAAGTGACTAAAATCTGGCAGTTAAGCAGAGGTGCTGAAGATGTGCACTGCTTCAAGACACATAAAATCAACCTTTGAGAAGATGAAAAAGGCAAGGCTGCATATCTGACAGGAATAAAGTAAGATGTTGAGGTGAGTGGGGGACATGACTATTGCCAAAGTGTATAGTGAATTTTGTATATCTTTATTGTCATATAAATTGTCTCTCATGTACATAGTGTTCTAAAGAGAATGGCATTATTGATTCTGCAAATTTATGGGCATTACTCTGGAAAGGAATGCATATAGGGGAAGAAATCACAACATTAGTCAACACAGTGAATACTAATGGAGAGAATAAGTATAGAACCAACAGAATTCTGAGAAAGAAACTTGGAATGGTGAGAATAATATGTATATTAATCTAGAGAATAAAACATTGTGTTAGACAGCTGCCACATGCATGCTTTATTAAATACTGACATGCTAACATATTTAGGAGAATGACCAACAGCTCTCAGAACTCTTGCTGGAGCCTATGACATGCATAGAAAATGGCTCAATAAAATAGGAATGAAAAGAGAGGCTTAAGAAAAGAAAGTGAGAATGCTTTCTGTTCCTTAAACATCTTCCCAAATGACAAGCTGGGAAAGAAAATGGTAGACAGTGGATAATTGATTTAGGCAAGACACATAAAAGAAGTTTGGAGATTTTATAGCACAAATCCTGCCAGAAGGAATTGAGAAGAGCTGCATGGAGGATATCTTCTTCTGAGTGAAAGTTCTTTTTTGTATGAGCTGATCAGTCATTTTAGGAGACCATCAGAGTAAGGATGGAATTCTCAAACTAACACAACCAAGTGCAGGGAAAACACAAATACTAATTTTCTTTTTTTTCTTGATGGCTATTTATGACCTTCTACACTTCACTGAAAATGACAAAACCACTGGCATATAAGAATTGACAGAATTTTTAAAATTCAGTGGCTCCATAATTGTATAGTACTAACTGTATAACTACTCTGTCTCGATTTGAAGTTCTTATTAACTTAAAAACTAATAATGATTATTTTGTTCACTTTCTATGCTATATAGAAATAGGGACAGTGACAGTACATATGGATCTAAGTTTGACATGAAATATATTATACAACTGTAATAAGTATTTAATTGCAAAAATATATAAACTTTAAATTTATGTTTTTATCTAACTTGTCTCATTTGCAAGGAGACAAGTCAAAGTGGTATAGGAGCTTTTTGAAAGGTAACAGGACATGTTTTACATATGGAGTGATATACAGAATTATTCCTGTCATTAGAGATTTTGGACTACAAAATCAGATCCTAAGCTTCTCAGACAAAATATACATGCATACAATTATAAGAGATAAATGGCAGTGCTACTCACAACTCTGGTACAGCTGAACCTTCTGAAGTTTCTAGATGCTTTAAAATTTACTTTGTTCAAATGTCACAAATGGTTGAAAATATGTCAGGAATTTTTACAGTATTATACAGTATGGTTACAGTGTTGATACAAAGCAGGTTTATATTATTTGTTCTTTCACCTCATCTCCACACATTTTCATTGCCATCTTGTTGTGAAACAGATTTCTTAACAGTAATTTATTATATCCCATTTTCAAAATGTTTTCCCCTTTACAAACATTAATGATAAATTTTACCCAAGTGAGCACTTCAGCTTTAAAGTAACTTTGAAAACTAACTACTTTACTATGAAATCAGATACTGAGAAACTTTATGTTCAATACTTACATGACTATTAAATTATATTTTTTTCTGGATAGAAATGCTTACAAAGCATTAGACTGTTAAGCTGTATCAGGCTTCATTATTCAAGTACCTTAATTAATGATGTGTGCCATGGAAAACTTTATTCTTGCCTCAGTGACTTTCTTTACAGAAGAATAATTTCAAATGGGGGATGATTTTCTTCAGGTAACAATTTGGGCAGTTTGGGTCTATATGCCAACTCTCATATTTCTCTTTTCAGTGATTTGGGTCATTATACATTTTTGCCAGGCTTATAATAATTTTATAAACAAAAGCATATTGTAGAGAAGGACAGAGGAGATATTATTCTGAAGAGCTATTAACAGAGCTAAGAACTATTCCTTAACAGCCTCTTTCTAATTAGCTTTTAAATTTTTTTGCTTTCTTTAGGCTTCCTCAGAAAAAAAAAAATCCAACATGAATATATACCAGCATGTTCACTCAGTAATCTGTTTTTCCAACGTGCAGCAAACATGCCTTAGCTCTTCACTAAGATTATAGGCTAGCTGAGGTTTCAGGTATTACTTAATGAAAGGCAATTCAACATCAAAATCTCAGAATCTTTTCTCTCTAAGTTTCAAAACTGTTTACTTTTATTGATACTTTTCAACTTTACAGAAGCATAATGTAACTTATATTCCAAGCCCACACCCGTGCTTTAGAAAACACCTTCCATGATGAGTAAGTTAATGAGATTTAACTTGGTATATTAATTTTCCAATATCATTGCAATCTTTTGTTAATCAATATTCCAAGCAGGCAGAGGAAGAACACAGCTTGCTCGATAGCAAAGAAGTCGAATTCTCTGAGTAAGTCTTCAACTAATTCACTCAGTGACATTGGATGCCTACTGAACCGGCAGTTTTAAAAGGCAGCAGCTTTTAGAGGTCCTAAAAACACTTCAAGGAAAAGATTTACATGGCCTGTAGGAGGCTCTGAATCAGCCCACAAATGGCTGATTAGTAAAATGTGCTGAATACTTGCTCTAACTGCTGAAGTCAACAACAGATGGAGGAGTTGGCATCTGCGGACATAAGGCCACTCCTTCACATATCCAACTTTAGATATACAAGCATGAGCATTTGAGCCTAAGCTTTGCATTCCAGCTTTTCAAGCAGTAAAATAAGTCTCAAGGGAACCCTGTTCTCACGTGTTCTGGCAAAAATGCTATTTCCTTATTCCTACATCAGCTGTGTCAGACAGCCCCACATACAAACAAACACACACCAAACAGGCCCTTTGAGAGTCTGCTCCCCTGGCAGTCCCAGCTCTCCCTTCCTGCCCCACTTCAGCCTCCACACCCAGCTTCCAGCTCTGGGCTCCCCTCCTGAGCAGCAATTTATTCCCAGAGCAGCTGCCTCACACCTACCCAAGATCCCAGCCTCCTTGCCCAGCTATCTTAAACCATGCTGCTGCTCAGTCTTCTCCCCAAGTATCTCTCAGCCTCCCAACAGCCAAATTTTGTGTCCCATTCCATATCTGGCAACAGGAGAGCCATGCCACTGAGAAAAATATAACCAGGATTTTCACTGTAAGAAAAGAATTTACTTCATTTTTTATAAGAGCAGGACTTAATAGGGTGAAATCTTCCTTCTCTCTCATACACATGTGGGAACAGATAAATACACGAAAGTCATGCAAAAAATAATGTTTTGCCCAGTGAATTCAAGTGAAACTGGAAATATCATATCTGGAAATAATATTGATATCTGCAACCATTAATCAAGGAAATTTGGGATTGGAAGATGGGGAAGGAGAGCTGGGTCTGGAAGTTTAGAAAGTGTTTGAACTATGTTCAAAAAGAGAAATGTTAAGTAAGATGCACTGCCAGTTCTGCCTGTGAGGTGGAGAAACATATGCAAAATCATCACAGAAAAACAGGTAACTCCAGTGTTTGAATATTAGAAAGTAGTAAATTAATTAATATTTCCCCAGAATATCATTAGCGCTTTAGTGGTAATTAGGAAACAACACCCAGCAGGAGTATTTAGAAGTGTAAATTGAGTACATACATATCACTAAAATATTCTAAGTATAATAGCATTTTTTAAATTTCAGTTCTAGTTGCATCAAACCCTATTTAATATTAATGAAATATTTAAAGTTGTTTTCCTCTTCTTTTTCTTGTGTGCTATAGTACAACAAAACAAATGAGTTTGCTAGTGCTCCATTTGAGTGCTTTGAAGAAACTGATATTATCTAGAACCACCTAATAAGACAGTGACTGCACATACAGTACAAATAACAAGATAAGTATTATGTTGCCTTAATGCATAAGTAAAGAATCCATTTTTTGACCATTTGCCACACAGACCATTTGCCTAATGAAACAAGCCTTCCTTCCTCTTCAAAGTACTGCTTTGTATTACCATGGTTAGATGAAAATGGCCTTTTCACTGCCTCAAACCACTCTCTCTCCTTATCACAAGGCTCAGGCTTAGTGCAGATTCAGTCATATAGCCAGCCTGATGCTGAAATAAAAAATCCCATCTGATTCTCTGAGTGAAAGGCTCCAGAACTGAATTTTGTGCAGTAGGCAAAATGGTATTAAACTCATATGCTGAATTTAACAGAGATATGCACTGTGCAGTTTGCTTGTACACACCCACTGAAGGCAAAAAAACCCAAAGCTCCATGACATGAACAAGCTAAGGGGAAACATTACAGCACAAATTTTGCCCACAGTCTCGCTGATGGTACATGTGTAACCACTGGGAAATCCTGCACAAGGATGGAGAGGCTACATTCTGACCTTTTTGGCCATCTGCAATCTGAAAACAGTGGCATCACAGCAATTTAATAGGGAAGAATTAATAACTTTGATTCCAGTATTAGTATCTGACAAAAATTATATAGCTCTTCTAAAGTATTTTTAGTGAATTTATTCTCTTTCTTAAATATAAAATGAACAAACCTTGCCAGTCAGCTTTGAAAGATCATCTCCTCCAATTATCTGCATATCTTGCATAGATTGATCATTCTAAAAGAAGAAATAAAAAATTTTGAAATTGGTTATAACTGTACAAAATAAAATACAAATGTTACCTTTTTTCAAAAAAAATCTTGATTACTAGTCTTAGTTATGAATATTTTCTAAAGCTTGTTAGTATTGGTGTACAAGAAAACCACAGTCTCACTTCTTCCTCTGGCTTCCTGCATCTCCTGCTTGTTTTTAAGCCAACTTCAAACTCTAGGGTTTACTGGACTAGAAAAAGTTGCATCTTTCTTTTTAGAATAGTGTTCCCTTGCTTGCTATTTCTTAGTATGACAAGGTTTGAGTAACATATTTATCCCTTTCAAAATGGGAGGACAGGAGCATCTCAACACTTGACCAAACACCTGTAAGCACATTCTTGGTTTGGAACAGTTTTTGGAAACTGGCTAAATGTGCTTACATGTCAGCTCTTTTTGGAGGAATTCACTTCATTTTCTTCAGGGGAAAAAAGTTTTGCAAAATTTATCACTTACTATCAAAAATATTTTCAGTGGGCCATAGAGTTTCCAAAGCTTTGTTTATTCAACTGACACAAAGATAAAATCCTTGAGGTCAATTACTTAAATATGGCCAATCAGGTGGAACTAAATGCAACAGAACAGTATGTTTTGATTTTCCTGTTAAAAAAGTTATTTTTTAAAGAATTTTTTTTGTTGAATTTATTTCACAGACATTTCTAGTTGAAATTCCTTCTGATGGAATTCTCAACCAGCTCTAGCTTCAACTTATTATCAGCAGAACACAAAGTTAAGATCACAAAAAGGAGATACATGCAAGCCCTGCTTTTAAGGCAAGACAAAAGAGGCCTTAAAGAAGGTGGCAAATGAAAAAATACACAGTCATGGCCAGGCTATATGAACTTTTCAGAAAAAGCAAGAGCAGAAATAAGTATAGTTAATGTGAGTTTTTTGCCAAACTGATGCATGTGCTAATCTAATCTTCCTACCCATAGGAAGAGAGCATTAGTCCAATTTCTATAATAGCTCCAGTAGCACAATGTGACATTGTGGTTTACTGGTAACACCAGGAAGCTTCATCATTACAAACTACTGACAAATATACAATACTTGGATTCTCTGCTTTTATTTCCTAAATCCAGCCCTCTGAAGCCAAATGTTTTTCCACAGGTAAATAGTGGCACATCAGGACTTAAAATGTGGGTGAAGATCTACTGGACTAAAGGATTTAGAGCTGTTCTTCTTCCCCTCCCAAATCAGGGCAAGGAGAAGCAGCACTCAGAGGGTCAGAGCTGCCCCCTGTGCAGATGGAACCACATTGTCCATGCTCACAGACCAGGGGGCACAAGTTTGGGGACTTCCAAGCACCTCTTCACCACAGAAAACCCCAGGAACTTTTTGTGGTCCTCATGGGAATGGATTGTCTAAGTTAAATCAGCCTTCCTGAGCAGCTGTAAGCAAAGGTTGTCAAATTGCCCAGATGAGAATTTCTCCAAGTTTGCATTCTGCAGACCCACCAAAAGGCTCCCTGGCTTTCACTCAGACTCTACTCTCCACAAAACTCTCACACCACAGCTTTGTAAGAGGTCCTTAGTAGTCATTGCTTTAAAAGACAGTTTTTAGACCTGCCTTCACTTTTCCTGCACCGGATCTGGGAGCTTTAGATAAATTTCATGCTGCTCTGATCCGTTTCCTGGGAAACAGAGCTAGAGCAGCAATGAAGGTTACATCCCATACATTTTCTAATATAAGTTTCAATATTTCTTTTATTTTCATAAAGAAAAACAAAAAAAAAGAAGTCCAAATAACAGCAAAGCAAGTAACTGATTTCCTCAGAAGACTATTTTAAAACTAAGTAAAAACTGGAGATTGAGAAGATTTTAAGTTCAGGCTTAAAAGCACGAGTCTTTTGTTGTAAAGCAAGACAGGTCACTCTTCAAAAGTCAGGCATGTATTCAAGTCAAGACTATTATAAGACTATAAAAAGCAGATTGTTTCTAATATCTACCACAGCATGTGTAACCAAGGCACTGACAAAATATTTTTTCATTTCCAAATGAGAAAGTGTAGAATTTCATTAGCAACCAGCACACAAGAATTACTGAAGAGGCAGCTTGCCCTTAAGCTGCTAGTTGAGAAAAGGAAAGAGAAAAAAAGATAACAGTGAGGTGCAATGATTAATGAATTTATTTATTTTTCACAAAAAAAACCCCAAACCCTCTCTTTCTACAGTATTCACAGCAGCACTGTTTCCTTTGCATTTGGTATTTCTGGCTTCAGCTGAAAGGAAGATGCTGAAATAGCATCTTCATTGCTGGCAAGCAGCTAAGCAAACACAAAAGCCATTGAGAGCAGGGGCATCACAGCATCCCGTCAGGCTCTGCATTCACACTTCGGCTGCTGGGACACAACTGCACACATTTATGAAAACCCTGGGGTTCTACTGGAGAATGAGAGCTGGCAAAGGACAAGGCTGGGTATTCATGGTCCCTAAAACCAATCATTTTCTATATGGTTTTTCTATATGCAGCTCAGAACCCTCCAGCCAAGGTATTTCCAAAAAAAATAAAGAAATTCCTTGCATCACACTGGAGAGCAATTCTCTTGCTAAAAAAAAAAAATTCAGATAATTGATTTAAAGCCATTTATAACTATCTACATTTATCACTTAACTCATGTTGTAAAATACATACCTGCCAAACAGCAAAGCTCAATACCATGGTGTGACATTACCCTGATCATAATGTTCACATAGATAATTTGCACACTATGGTTGCCATGGAAACCTCTCTGTGCATTTTTTTTTCTGAGTTCTCAATTTATAATCCCAAAATAACACTGCACTAAATGTTAAATACAAGGTACAACAAATGTCAGGAAAGAAAAAAATCTGTTTCATTCAGTACCAATTAATGTCAATTCAGAACTGTTTGTTTAATTTTCATGGTCTCAAGTCATTCAGAGCTTCTTTCTTCCTTTGTGAGTTGCTCCAACTGATATAATTGAGTCTCTGAGATGTCTTATAAATGCAGAAATATGAATTGAAGCTTCATTTTCTGTCACCCAAAGTTCCTCAATATATGTTTTCTAATATCCCTAAACCCTATCAACACAAATATTTTTTTAAATATTTGACATTAAATATATTGGCTTGGATAGAGACAGCTCCAAATCATACTATATTTTGGTTAATGTAGCACAAAATTTATTGCAGCTGTTTCTGAGAAGATGTGATGCATTGTGTCACATCCCCACACCTCATCCCAAGCTATATTTCTATTTTTTTGGGGTGCTTAATAAATCTGCATTTTCCAGAATAAATCTCAATTTCTTTGCTTTTAATTACTGGGTTGTGGTTTTTCACTTATTCATCTTTGTTTTATAATTTTAGTTAATTCTAGGAATATTTGATTAATTAAAGCAAGAATGTTATTTCCACCACCATTTTTCATGGCACACATGATAAAACTTTAGCTTTCTGTGTAGATTGGAAGTATACATATTTAAATTCCATCTATACTAAGTCATGTGTTTTGAACTGGGTGGGGCACAGAATTATTACATCTCTTTTACATCTCTTGAGATCAACACTTGGACATAGTTCAAGTTACAAGTGAAATGAGTTGGGTGGTCTCAGGAAAATTCATTATAAACAGCATTGCTCATCTGAAAATTGCACCAAACTGTGAACATCTGTTACTCTTCTGAAGAAAAAGAATCTGGAATACATTAATACTGGGCTCAGTGAAACAAAGATTCTTTAATCATGGCAAAAAAAACAGCTTTAACAAAACAGTTTAAATGCATAACTAAATTATTAAATATGTACACAAGGTCATTATCACACATCTAATTACTACAGTCTGCAGAGTTCATATAGAATTTATTTTAAAATGTGGTTACCTTTTTCTCCCAAAATTTATCAGGGAAACTCAAAACAAAGAATGTGACCATCAGGCCTGTTCCATGTTGGTTTTGTCCCCTTGGGTGATACACCAGATCCTCCAACCTGGGAATTCCCATTAGGGCAGCTCTTTCACTTCACACCATCATTCCACCTCCTACAACTCAGTCTTCCAGGAAGGTTTTGACCAAAAAGAAGTCAATGACAGACCATTCAGTTGTCCCTTGGATCCTAGTATGTAACTAAATTGCTTTGCAACCTGCCTCCTGAGAAATATGAATAAATTGGTGGGGACAGTATGTCAGTATGGCATTTACAGGATCTGTTAACCTATTCTGGCTAATAGATAAGTCAAACTGATATTTAAAGTATGGCTATGAAATATCCTCAGTGAATCAGCAGAAGTTGAGTGGTAGTATATAAAATGCTGTACTTAGAAACAACATCCACTTGAATTAATACGATTTTGGGTTTCTTCTCTCAAGAACAGCTAAGAACAAAAGACCTCAAGGGCGTAGAAAATGAGCTGTCAGTTTTCATGGCAGGCAGCTAGAGGGACTATCCAGGCTTAAGCAGGAACAACTAGTTCAGAGGGCACCTAGTGAGGGCTGTTAATCTGGAGACTCGTACAAATGAGTGGGAATGATGTGAATCACTTCCCAGTAAAGACTGGAAAGTTTGCCTTCCTTTACCCAGAACAAAATGTATACCAAAGGCAACCTTTGGGGTACACCCACATTCAAAACAGTCAAGTGCCAGGTCACTGATATATTTTTAAGAGGTACCTTGAATACCTTGCAAACAATCCAACAATGCTGAGCCAAGTGGGAATGGAATGCAGTAAATTGGCACACACCCACTGGCAGAACAGCCCCTTTCTGCAAGGATGTACAGGTACATGTGCACTGAAGCACTGACAACTTTGAGAAGCTCTGAGAGCTTTAAAGCTGCTTTCCTGAGCTGACCACACCACTGAGTGTGCTGCACTGAGCCTGGCCTTATTGCCATTGCCAGGATAACACATGATAGCAAGTTTTAGACTGCTGTAGATGTACATCTAGCAGAATTCTAGTTACCACAGTGTAAGACATATCTTACTTCTGTCAGGGTAGATCGACAATGTC